CTTCTGCAGTGCTCCGTAAGCTGTGGGGTTGGCACACAAAGAAGGAAAGCCACCTGCCAAAAGCGCACGGCCAGAGGCCAACATCTGGCATTAAATGGATCTCTGTGCAGAAGCTTTCCAGCATCCCAGCTTGTCAGGCCTTGCCACAGGAATGCCTGCAGAGGTAAGCGATGTTCTTTGACCATGTTTGTGAAGGGAAAAAGTCCCCAGCTTCAAAAACATTCCATTTACCCCAAGATGTAACCCACGTGCCAAACCTTCCCATTAAGAATCCGTGGCATATCCTACTATCCCAGGATTGCAAAGTGCCCTTAATTTGTGGGGGGGGGGGGGGGGGGGGGGGGGAACCAGTAAAGTATGAGGTCTCCATCAACTATCTGCAATTTTTAACAACCCCTTGAACACTTTTCTTTGTGGATCTGGTGTTGATTTTTCCACAGCAACTATTGTTCCTCGGCCATGGGATCGCTTCCTATCTTTTGTACTACTTTCGGCAAAACAACTCTTAACATTTTGCCGAAAGCATTAGAATGATGAAAAATGAAAAAATAACCCCATCTCTATTCGCCCAGATTCCCTCTAGATTGGCTTTAAACACCTGCTCTTTTTACCTGCAAATTGAATAATAATAATAATAATAATAATAATAATAATAATAATCATAATCATAATCATAATCATAATCATCATAATCATAATCATAATCATAATCATAATCATAATCATAATCATAATCATCATAATCATAATAATAATCATAATAATAATCATAATAATAATAATAATCATAATAATAATAATAATAATAATAATAATAACAACAATCATCATCATCATCATCATCATCATCAATTTCACAGTTGTGATTTTCCCCTGCCTTTCTTTAAAAGCAATTCCTGGAGGGCGACCATCTTGATTTTGTGGGTTTTTCCATGTTGACTTTTCTATTTCGAGAAATACAGTTCACCCTTTTTATTTTGACCAATTCTTCTGCTATAAAAATTATAGATCAAAAGCAGGTGTGTTGCTTCTCTGTCTTGCTCAATAAAAATCGGATGAAAAAAGCTTATTTGCTTTCTCAGTTAGGGCTGTATTAAGGAAAATGGCGCGTTTGAAGACTCCATGATTGAGGAAACAGAAGGATACCTCAATTTGGAAGCATGATTACACTAGATTTAGAGTATAAGATACCTTTTAGTTTTGCACAACACATGGAGCTTGTTCCAGGGAAGGGTTAGAGTGCCCTACGTGCATGAAACTCACCATTATTTCTGCTACCTGGTTTGCTCCTCCTTTGACCTTGACTATTAGGGTTTGCTTCTTCTGTTATGCTTGTTAGCATCCATGAGCTCTTCCTGCTCTGTTCTTCATCCCTGCCTTTATCGTCTTCTCTGCATGTGCCTTACCAACAATTCTGATTGGTCTTTAATACAGTTAGTCCTCGATTTATGACAATTCATTTAGTGACTGTTCAAAGTTACAACGGCACTGAAAAAAAGTGACTTAGGACTGTTTTTCACATGAGTGTTGCACCATCCCCAGGGTCACATGATCAAATTTGACAACTGACTCATATTTATGACAGTTACAATGTCCTGGGGTCGTGTGATCCCCTTTTGTGACCTTCTTGCAAGCAAAGTCAGTGGGGAAACCAGAAATTTAACCACCGTGTTACTAACTTAACAACTGCAGTGATTCACTTAACAAACTGTAGCATGAGAAGTTGTAAAATGGGGCAAAAATTCATTTGACAAACATTTCATTTAGCAACAAAAATGTTGGGCTCAATTGTAGTCTTAAGTAGTAGGATAACAGAGTTGGAAGGGACCTTGGAGGTCTTCTAGTCCAACCCCTGTTTAGGAAGGAAACCATTTCAGACAAATGGTTATCCAATCTCTTCTTAAAAACTTCCAGTATTGGAGCATGCACAACTTCTGGAGGCAAGTTGTTCCACTGATTAATTGTTCTCACAGTCAGGAAATGTCTCCTTAATTATAAGTTGCTTCTCCCCTTGATTAGTTTCCATTCATTGCATCTTGTCCTGCCCTCGGGTGCTTTGGAGAATAGCTTGACTCCCTCTTCTTTGGGGCATGTTGAGGTATTCCCCGTTAGGAGAATGAGTGCATTCAGGGAAACATAGTGAGAGTGGTGATGAATAACACACAACCAGCACACAGATACACTGAATAGTAAAATGTAACTTTTACTTCCTGTAAACGGGTAAACAAAGTCCAACAAACAGTCCAAATCATAGGCGGTTAAAGCAGTTAGTATTCAAATAATCAGTCCAGGGATAATCCAAAAATGAAGTCCTTTTCTTTACCAGTATCACAAACAAAGTTCAGTAAACGGAGTTTGCAAATAGTTGCAAGACTCACAGCAATTCAAGCAGAATGACGATCAGGCAAAAGGCAAAAGGAAAGCAAAGGAAATGCAAAAAATAACAAACCAGGTTTCTGGCTCCATCTTATGGCTGTTGGAGGAACCTCAGCCAATTACAATTACAACATTCTCTTAAAGATACAACAGTATTAAATGACTATCCTGGTTTATATATTGCCAACCCAACTGTTAGGTGACTATCATTCCTAACAGGGCAGCCCCTGAGACTACCTACTATTCTGATTGCATGAAGATAACCAGAGCTCTGGGTTTAGATTAATTAAAAATATTGGCATAAGCGTCAAGAGGTCACAATGTTTTGACTGCAAAGATGCAATAGCAATCAGCATTCGACAGCCAACTACATTGTCCATCCCATAATAATTAGTTTAGCCTATCAGAGGACATATTTCTTATCCCCATTTTGTAACCAGTCGAAAAATAGGCTGTTGGCAAGTTGAAATGTAAGTAACTCTAGTACATCAATTAAAAGTAAATCAAAGCATGACAAATCATGTTAGACCAGGTCAGTTCCTAATAATATACAGTAATCACTAAGGATTCTTGTAAGGATCAATCAGGACCTCGGATAGCCTCCAGTGAATTTACCTGGTGAGTGTACAAAGTAAATTGTTTCAGCAGGACTAGAGTCATCTGAAGCCATCTCGAACAGGTGGGCACGGCCTCACCTTCAATTTTCTTTACCCAACTAGAAGCTGACTGCAATTCTTAAAGCTTTCATGTCTGTTTGCATAGCTGAAGAAAATGAAACCAGAATCTGAGGATGATAAGCCATGTCCTCAGCCCAGGAAAATAGAAAAGACAAAGAAAAGAGAGGTTATTCTTCTGAAACAGCTCCATAACCTCTGTTATTATACTGTTGTGAATTACTAAAAGCCATGGTGGTGCAGTGGTTAGAGTGCAGTACTGCAGGCTACTTCTGTTGACTGCTGGCTGACTGCAATTTGCCAGTTCAAATCTCACCAGGCTCCAGGTTGACTCAGCCTTCCGCTCTTCCAAGGTGAGTAAAATGAGGACCCAGATTGTTGGGGGCAATAGGCTGACTCTGTAAACCGCTTAGAGATGGCTGTAAAGTACTATAAAGCAGTATATAAGTCCAAATGCTTTTGCTATTTCTGGGATCAGCTGCTGTGATGTAAGAAGACTTTTACTATGTTTTTGACTGAATCTAGTACCTGTATGATACATATCAGGATCAACAATAGATTTCAGTTTCCTAACTTCATGTAGCTTAACTTGGCTACTAGACTTCTACTTAGCAAAGAGGTCATAGGTGATAGTAAATTACATGTCTCAGGGTTGGCTTCATATGGGTTAGCCAGACATGTTGCTCCTAATAAATCTTTTGGATTCTTTTGAAGCTTGGCTCGAGGGTCATGATTTAATTAGGGCAATGGTTGGAACCCTGACACTTAGATTTATATTCCACTTCACAGTGCTTTACAGCCCTCTCTAAGCAGTTTACATAGTCAGCATCTTGCTCCCAACAATCTGGGTCCTCATTTTACCCACCTCGGAAGGATTGAAGGCTGAGTCAACCTTGAGCCTGGTGAGACTCGAACTATCAAACTGCTGGCAGCCAGCAGTCAGCGGAATTAGCTTGCATTCTAACCACTGAACCACCGTAGCTCTACACTTGGCTGAAGCCTCTCAGATACATGACAAAGAACAATTAGGGAAGAACTTTTATTGCAATCTAGAATGAAGCCACATTCTATGGTGGTTTGCCTTCTCTCAGCCTGAGGCTGCAGTTTCTTCTTGTATCCGTGTTTGTTTAAAGCCATTGATTCTTCCACCTTGCCAACTTTTCAACACACTCCTTGCCCTGGGCTTCATGACCCTGAAGTTGATTTTTTGTTGATATAGCTGACATCTCTGGCCTGAGAAGTACTGGCTCTTGACTTCTTTCTCACACCACACGTATTATTTGTGCACCCTCTATATTTTGAATCTGTGTATATAGAAATGAGAAGCATATATTATATGTCCTCCATTTAAAAAGTGGGTCTTGATATGGACTGGAATATAAGAAGCTGTCTGCTTGGTTGGGAAAACCCTGTGTATGTGTGTGTTTATATAATGCAGGAACTGGCTATGGCTAGTCTAGAGAAAAAAAGGATTAGGGGATGACATGATAGCAGTGTTCCAATGTCTAAGGGGCTGCCACAAAGAAGGGGTCAACTTATTTTCCAAAGCACCAGAAGACAAGACAAGAAACAATGGATGGAAACTAATCAAGGAGAGAAGCAACCTCTCTAGAACGTCTTGCCTTCAGAAGTTGTGGGTGCTTTTTCACTGGAGGTTTTTAAGAAGAGACTGGACAGGCACTTGCCTGGAATGATATAGGGTCTCCTGCTTGAGCAGTGGGTTAGACTAGAAGACCTCCAAGGTCCCTTCCAACTCTATTCTGATTGATTGATTGATTTCAAACAGGGGTTTTGAGCTTAAAGCAATTCGTAGAATTTAAACAGTAAGGCAAATTTCTACTGAGCTATTTATCAGGCAGAAGGTCTGGTTCAAAAAATAGGAGTAAATGTTTGCTATCAATAGTTTGAAAATCTGAACATTGACCCTAAGAATATGTTGCAATATTAGTTTGGCAGGAAACATAGAGTCCCAATGGAAGCATTTATTTGGTTTTAATGACTATTGCTGGGTGCTTAGCTTAATTCCTCAACATTGTATTAAAAGCAACCCATCCAACAAAGTAAGACTTGAAATCATTATTGATATATTCATAACATGAAACTTCTTTTTGAGACTTTATTGCCTGGTGAACATGCCAAGATCCTGAGGTTCAAAAAAAATAATATTTTAAACGAAGCTCCATGGACTTACAGGAATGTCCTTGGCGGAGTATTTCATGAAATATTTCTGAGCTGCATATATATCTGAATTTATTTAATTATGGATATTTGTATGGCAGCGTGTCTAATCAGCAGAGTGTTTTGGTGGAGAGAGATGTTAAAGAAACCTTGTCAAGTTCCGTTGTATGTTATGAGGATTATAAACCAAAAAAGCAACCAAAAAAAAAAAGAATATTTATTCTGATGGTTCAGAAACGTGTTTTGAAAAGGAAAGGAGGCCTAAAGAAACTGTCACATAAGATCAGTTTCTATGTGGTTTATATTAAACATTGTCTACAGCCAAGATACACAATGAGCTTCAAGTTTCAGCTATCGTTCAAGCTCCATTTCTAGGGTGCAGCTCACTACTGAGTATCCACATATAGGGAGGCTGGTCTAGAACACTTGTTCATGGTATCCTAATTTTCACAAAGACAGTTGTTAAGAAAAATGCACATTTCCTCCTGTTCCTTTATGCAACCCTCTTTCTCTCTTGCGTTGTAGAAGTTGGTGTATTGTACAAGTAATCCTTAACTTACAACAGTTTGTTTAGTGACCATTCAAAGTTACAATGGCACTGAAAAACATGTGGCCATTTTTCCCAGTTATGACCTTTGCAGCATCCCCATGATCATGGGAATCAAAAATTTGGATGCTTGGCAACAGGTTCATATTTATGACCGTTGCTGTGTCCCAAGGTCACAGTTCATGCAGAAGCCAGATTCACTTAACAACTGGGTTACTAACTTATCAATTGCAGTGATTCACTTAACAACCATGACAAGAAAGGTTGTAAAGTGGGGCAATACTCACTTAAGAAATGTCTCACTTAACAACAGCAATTTTGGGCTCAGTTGTGGTCATAGGTCAAGGACTACCTGTATTAGGATTCTTTCCTGCTAAATTATTGCTTCATTGATGCATTGCTGACTTTAAAGTCTGATTGACCTTCCCAATAACAATTTGAGATTGGAATATTAGCATCCCAAGCTCAGCTCTCTAGCTCTCAGCTCTCTAGAATCCATCCAGTCGGTCTGAAACATTTCTAGGTAAACTGAGTTTCCAGCCTTTAAAGATGAATAAATGACACAGTGAAAATAGCAATGGCGCTTAGGTTTATATACTGCTTTAACAGTGCTTTATAGCCCCCTCTAAGCGGTTTTACAGAGTGAGCCTCTTGCCCCCAACAATCTGGCTCCTCATTTTACCCACCTTGGAAGGAGGGAAGGCTGAATCAACCTTGAGCCTGGTGAGATTTGAACTGCCAAATTGCAGGCAGCCGGCAGTCAGCAGAAGTAGCGTGCAGTACTGCGTTCTAACCACTGCACCACCACAGCTCATGCAAAATGCAAAACAGTGATGAAAACATATACCTGTTCTCAGTATACCTTTGCAATTTCAGATCTCAAAGAAGAAAAGAAATCCAGACTTTTTGACAAGCCACAGATACTTGGTATCCATAAAGTCTATATTCAGACAAGGCAAGAGAAGCGCATTAATTTCACTGTTGGGAGCCGGGCTTATTTACTTCCCAAAACATCTGTCATCATCAGGTGTCCTGTTCGGAGATTCCAAAAGATGCTTATCCAGTGGGAGAAAGATGGGCAGCCACTCCAGATTTCTAAACATCTTGGTGTCACCAAATCAGGGTCTCTCAAGATCAATAATCTTGAAGCTTCAGATATTGGAGTGTATAAGTGTCTTGCAGGATCTGCCCAGGAGATCTTTGTTCTAAAACTCATTGGCACAAGCAACAGGCTCCTGGAACCTGCCACCAGTAGAAAAGAGGCAGGTGAGACCACAGACCACAATGAATCCAACAGCTTTGGAGCAAAATGGCACCAAATAAATCAGATGTGGCAGTTGTGGAGCCAGAAAAGTCAACAATATCTGCGCGATGAACAAGTCAACGACCAGCCTGCCTTAGAACATCTGAAAACGCAGAGAAGGAGTTCAGAAGAAGGACGCAACGCTCACAAATTCACCACCCAGCAACTCAATGCTGTGGCTTTACCCAACGCTTACAGTATGGATATGGACCATTTCGATGGGCTGATTAAAAATTTGAGCCATTTTATTGAAGCTGGAGAAATTAGCAATGATTTGGCTTCCCGCTTTGTCTACCAACTGATTGCTGAATTAGCGAAACCGCCTCAGTCTGCTCCTGAAAAGCAGAAAGAGCCTGAAAATGAGAAGCTCCCTGCCGGGAAACTTGACAAATCCCAAAGAGTGACAGATAATCTCAGCACAAAAACTGTAGGCGACCCAGTAGCGAGAAACTCAACAGAGGCTATTATTGTCAAGCCACAAGGAGGACCAGAAGTTTATACAAATGAAAATGTAACTCTGCAACTGGAGGGTACCTTTTTTTTAACCAAGAATGTCAGCACAATAAATTTGCTCTGTGCAACTGCTGGAGTTAGCAATCTTAAATATACTTGGACCAAAGATGGAATGCCATTGAAGCCTGTTGAGAAGTAAGTAACATTAAATATTTCAGCCATTCTGTGCTCGCCTAAATGATTTTTGTTATATCACATAATATGTGATTATATTGTAGACAGAACGGGATCTTTGTGAAAATCCTTAAATTGTAAGCTTTGTGTTTTGCCTTTAAGCTTCAAGGCCTTTAAAACGATCTTAGGAGCCATCTTAAACTCCCATATTATGTCTTGGATTGATCTCTTCTTGTTCAGGATGCTTAATTACTGGCAGAATTGATTTTCCCTTTACTTCTCCTCTTATTGGGGTGGTGTGGTGGCTCAGTGGTTAAGACGCTGGGCTTGTCTACTGAAAAGCCAGCAACCCAGGTTCGAGACCCAAGCACTATGCGACAGGGTGAGCTCCCATCCTCATCCCGGCTTCCTGCCAACCTAGCAGTTTGAAAACATGCAAATGCAAGTAGATAAAGAAGTACCATTTTGGTGGGAAGGTTACAGCCCTCCATGAGGTCATGCTGACCATATGACTATGGAAATGTCTTCAGACAGCGCTGGCTCAATGGCCTTGAAACAGAAATGAGCACTGGCACCCAAAAGTGACAACAACTAATGGAGTAAAATCTGCAGGGATTCCTTTACCTTTTTCCCTCCTCTCCTCTTATTATGAAATTCCCTGTTTGTCTTTCTGGCTTTCTTTTAGCCTTCCCCTAAACCAGTATTTCAACTGAATACCACCCTTGGCTCACTTATAAATCAAAGACAAATATTTTGGACACTGAATATTAAACAGGTCAAGCTGACTTTATTGCAGAATTCCCAGATGTTTCTAGTAGTTGCTGGTCTGCCAGATATGTGGCATGCAGTGTTTTGTGGCTAGTTTAAAGGGCGTAAGGGTATATTTAAGATAAGGCACACAAAGATCCTAGGGGGTTATATTTACACTTGAGCACTGATGAACATACCAAATGAGCTACATCAGTCTTACAAGCAAGTATCTCTCTGTCCCATTTGGAAAGCTTACTCCCAATTGTGGGGGTTGATTAATTTGACGCATTGTTTATTTAGCACTCACTGTTGTGAATCCTTTATTTATATATGGGAGTCTCTAAGCTGACATTGGCTGATTTCAAAGGTGCTTGGATGGGCAAATCCCTAGGATATTCCAGTGGTACAGCACAGAATAGCATTTTCAAAGGAGTGACTAACAAACCGTTTCAGCATTCTTGCTGCAACAACAACAGAACAGATCCATGTCATCACCAGACATCAAAGTTGAGAGTAACAATAGGATAATAATTGACTTTGAAAGTCTGCCGAAACCTAAACCTTTCTGCCAGGTTAGGCTCCATGTACACATTGAATTATACAGTTTAAAACCAAAAGGGCAGATAAAGAATTGATGCCAAAAGTATAAAAAGGAAAAGGCAAGCTAGTTTTTTTGGCAAGATTCGGAGCTTCTGGTGCAGAACTGTTTTCTGAAAACCTGGCCAGGTGGCACACTGAACAAACTTTCAGTAAGGCCAGAGGACACGCAACATTAAAGCAACAAGGAAGACATGTAGAACCATGCTGATTCACAGGCACACTTTCCCTTAATGAATACAATGAGTATGCCTCTTGTTTGAGAAGCAAACTCCATAACAAAGTGCATGTTTGGTCTTGTACATATTTTCCTGGTGATCCAGGACAACTGCAATAGTGATGTGGAGACAGAAGGTTCTATTCGTTACACCCAAAGGTGCTTTTCTCAGACACCCAAAGTTGCTTTTTCAGGAGGCAACTGGACTTCCTTGTTTTTTTTTCTTTTGAAGATGTTTCACTTCTCATCCGAGAAGCTTCTTCAGCTCTGACAAGATTACTGGGGAATGGAAGGATTTATATTCCTTGCAGACAGCTGGTCATTTGCATCTTTTCAGAGGGTTGTAAATGACCAGCTGTCCAGAGGTGGTGTTTGGTAGGTTCTGACCAGTTCTGGAGAACTGGTAGTGGAAATTTTGAGTAGTTCGGAGAACCGGCAAATCCCACCTCTGACTGGCCCCGCCCCCATCTATTCTCTGCCTCCCATTGAGTCCCAGCTGATCGGCTGGGTCCTTTGTTGCCCCACACAGGAGAACGGAGCTGGAAAGCAGGTTAGTGGGGTGAGGAGGGAATGGGGGTTTTGCAATATCCTTCCACTGCCATGCCCACCAAGCCACGTCCACCAAGTCATGCCATGCCCACCGAACCGGTAGTAAAAATTTTGAATCCCACCACTGCAGCTGTCTACAGGGAATATAAATCCTTCCATTCCCCACTATTCTGTCAGAGCTGAAGAAGCTTCTTGGATGAGAAGGGAAATGTCTTCAAAACAAAAAACAAGAAGGTCCAGTTGCCTCCAGAAAAAAGCACCTTTGGGACAACTATGACCTGATGGATGACTGAGAATCTCTACAAACTTTTAGTTGCCCGGACAGTTTGTGGAGAACAGTGGAGGAAATCCTTGCCTTGGTTCATTTAGTGATTATTCATAGTTACAACACCATTACGGCCTTTCCACCATCCCTATGATCACAAGATCAAAATTCAGGTGCTTGGCAATGGGTTCATATTTATGACAGTTGTTGTATCCCGGCGTTATGCGATACCTTTTTGTGACCTTCTGACCAGCAAAGGCAACGGGGAAGCCAGATTCACTTAATAACTGGAGTTGCTAACTTAATCAACTGCAGTGATTCACTTAACAACCATGGCAAAAAAAAGTCATAAAATGGAGGCAACATTCCCTTAACAAATGTCTCACTTAACTGCAGAAAATATGGGGTCGGTTGTGGTTGTAAGTCAAGGACTGCCTGGATTCACTTCTATTGATTGAATCTTATCCTTTAAACATTTTGCAGGGTGACTTTCAAAGCTGATGGCAAAGTCCAGATTTTGAACCCGACTGAGAAAGAAATGGGGGTGTATCGTTGCACAGCGGACAATGAACTTTTTCAAGACATGGCACTGTTTTACGCAGGTAATACTGATGCTGAAATTTGCAAATTAGTTTATTTATTTATTTATTTATTTGATTTGTCAATCGCTTGCAAGATAATAGATATAAGAATAAACATGAGTAAGAATACAGGAAATAGGTATGAATAAATGGGGACAATAGGACAGGGACAGTAGGCATGACTGTGCACTTACGCACGCCCCTTACAGACCTCTTAGGAACTGGGTGAGGTCAATAGTGCATAGTTTAAGGTTAAAGTTTTGGGGGTTTGAGAATGTAACAACAGAGTCAGGTAGTGCATTCCAGGCAGGGACCACTCTGTTGCTGAAGTCTTACTTTCTGCAATCAAGTTTGGAGTGGTTTGCATTGAGTTTATATATGTTGTGTGCTCTTGTATTGTTGCGGCTGAAGCTGAAGTAGTCATTGACCAGTAGGACATTGTAGGAGATAATTTTGTGTACTACACTTAAGTCCAACTGTAGGCGGCGTAGTTCAAGGTTGTCGAAGCCCAAAATTTCAAGCCTGGTGATATAAGGTATTCTGTTGCGAGCAGAGGAGTGTAGTACTCTTTTTGTGAAATACTTCTGGACTCACTCAATTGTATTAATGTTGATTGTATTATTGATCATCAATCATCTCTCAATAAGACATAGACTTGTTCGATGATAATGAATTGGATTGCTGTTTTTTTGTATCTGCGAAATACCAACTTGCAGAACGATAAAAGAAATTATTACTATTAGTAAAAGGAAAATGGGAAAATAACTCTTGGGGAAGGTTTGTAAACCCTCATTTTTGTCTTAAATGAAAAGTGAGGGGATTTGCAGGCAACATTTCCCCCCAAAGGTCTGTAAACATTCCTTTCTGAAGTTCGGTAGTTACCATAATTTGAGAGGGAAAACTTGCAGAGGGATGAAAATAAGCCAAAATAGAGCAACTGTCTCCAGCTAAATTTCTATCTGTGACACCACATAATTCCATCCTGAGGGACTCTTCAGGGACTAATTCCACTCTCTGCTGATTCTCCCTTTGCAGAAGCTCCCGCTATACTGTCATCTGAAAAAAATATTGCCAGTTTTCAGCTTCGGAATCTGTCTGTCTCTGTTGGAGGTACAATCCTAGCGAGAACGGGGACGAATATTCTGCTGGAATGTCCAGTCAAAGGTAAGGCTAAATCACCTGAATTGTCAGAAGTTGTGGGCACTCTATCACAGGAGGTTTTCAAGAAGAGACTGGACAGGTATTGGCCTGGAAATCAGTGGTGGAATTCAAAATTTGTTACTACTGGTTCTGTGGGCATGGTGTGGTGGGCGTGGCATGCCATGGCGTGGCTTTGTGGGCATGGCAGAAGGATAGTGGAGGTAGTGTAGATAGGAGAAGGATACTGTAAAATCCCCATTCCCTCCCCACCCCACTAACCTGCTTTCCAGCTCCATTCTCCTGTGCAGGGCAGCAAAAGAAGACCCAGCTGATCAGCTGGGACTCAATGGGAGGCAGAGAAGAGATGGGCATGATGTGGCTTGGTGGGCGTGGCTTGGTGGGCATGGCAGGGGAAGGTTACTGTAAAATCCCCATTCCTTCCCCACCCCACTAACCTACTTTCCAGCTCCATTCTCCTGTGCAGGGCAACAAAAGGAGACCCAGCCGATCAGCTGGGACTCAAGAGGCAGAGAAGAGATGGGGGCGGGGCCAGTCAGAGGTGGGATTTGACGGTTCTCTGTACTACTCAAAATTTCTGCTAACGGTTCTCCAGAATTGGTCAGAACTTGCTGAATACCACCTCTGCCTGGAATGGTGTAGGTTCTCCTGCTTGGACAGGTGGTTGGGCGAGAAGTCTTCCAAGTTCTCTTCCAACCTCATTATTCTATTCTTCTTTATTCCTTTTCCACATATCACTTCCCATTCATT